ATATTTTCTTCCCCTCTTTCCTCCATTTTTACTTCCTTCATTCTCTCATTGTCCTTCTCCTCTTTCTCTCTGGCATTGTTTATAATGCAGGGGAAAGATCAATAAGTTGGGGGGGCTCACCCTAAAACTGACTCCATGTGAATGTATTTGGTTGACCCTTAGTGATGGAATTGATGGGAACATTAACTTCCACTTGCTGTAGGTTCCTTTATACTAGGAACTTTGTAAAAAGAAGAAAGAGTTCCTTTATGGTCCCTAGCAGAAGTGTCAGCTCCATTGATATAGGGCCATGAAAGCATTCCCTGGATTGAGTGTTGTCTAGCACTGTGGAGCTGGAGGCACTTGGGGTGGTGTGGTTTTGGTGGGGAGGAGAGGAAAATAAAAAATTGCTGAAGCCTGGGTCAAAGGCACTGAGTTATTCTTCTTACTGCCATCACTAGCAAAGATTCTCTCTCTCTCTCTCTCTCTCTCTCTCTCTCTCTCTCTCTCTCTCTCTCTCTCTTTTTCAGACCACACTCAAGTATCCCTTCCTCTTTAGGGCATCCCTTAATATTTGATTATAGACATATTTTTTTTCTTGTAGTGGGTTGGAACAGTCAAGTAAGAATGTCAACGGTTTTGCTTTATTAGTATTTATGGACAACTCTGAATCTCTTTGGAAGGGCTACTCATTGGTGGGATATGCTGTGACAAATAGTAAAAACCTAAGCCAGAAAAAAAGTGGTGGCCTCTATTCAAATATACCAGTCATAACTTCCTCTAAATCATTAAAGTATTCTTTACTCATAGCTACCTTGCTTCAGAAATAAGGAGATGAACCAAACCCACTACAGAACAGATACCACTTTCCTTGGGTGGTCATAACTACCCCTCCTCTCTCTCTTGATGAATTTCTGATAGTTCTGAAGTCTTGGAGCAATTGCCTATTCCTCACTAGGCAGGTTCATAGTCAACCAACATTTGTGTTCTTCCCTCATGTAATCAATACCTTGACAGCTGATATGCATGAATTAGAAAATTAATGCATGAATGATAAATACAGGGACAATTTCTTCAGATTTTTGGAATTGGAAAAACTGCATAAATCTCTGTCAAAGCACTTATCAGCGGATTTAATTTGGATAAACCACTTGTCACGAGTTTCAAATGTATAGGTAAAATAAGTAATACATAGAGCTGTGTAGATTGTATGTAATAAGATACATACAAACCTTATAATTCAATGTGTAGCACATATTAAGTGATTAACTCATGGCAGATCTTGTATTTTTTCAAAAGATTTCATTGCGCTTATTACTTGAGGCATTGTTTAATATGCTTCAGGTAACTTGCAAGATGTTTCTTCTTTTTGGCAATATCTTGCCTAAATAAAGATCTTACAGTGTGTAGCGGGGAACAGAGGGGCAGACGTAGAGCACGGGTGCTTAGTACGGGCATATTCTTGATATTTAAAGTTGAAGAGCCAGGACTTAGGATTGTTAGGGAGCAAAGGTAAAGGCTTGCCATCAGGGTAGGGTAGGGGTGGAGTTCATGTTTACTGGATACATTTGTGGGACTGTGTATCTATATTAAACTTGTCCTGCATTTTCCAACTTCCAACTCTTTTCACTCCATAGTAAATCCTAACACTACTACCCAAAGACTTAAAGAAGGGGGGTATGGCAAATTATCTTAATTATACTCACACTGCTTTTAGATTTTTATTTTTAGATTAATAAAGGAGACTTTTATACATAGAGACCTGACAAACTAGTTAATGACCTTCAGTCTGTTTGTTTCCTTTTTAGGTTTGTATTTTGTTGTTGTTTGTTTTGTTTTGTTGCTACCTAACTAGATAGGTGTGAAAGAAAAACAAACCCAAAAATTCTCATGGTTTGAAAGACTTAGCTGAAATCCACCTTTGGAATCAGATTCAATTAAACATGCTACTTGGGTTAAACATAATATAAATCCATATACATTACAGCTCAAGAATCTACAAATTTTTAAAATGTTAGAATTTGTCATTTTTAAAGTATCTAACATGCTCTATGCAAAATCCAGTCCCTTTTGGGCCTCAAAAGTTATTTGGATAATTTTTCTGCCAAAATATAGTGAAATGATGGCTAGTCAGACACATTAATTTGGTTAACATATAAGTAGGAAAAAAATATCCAATGCCTTGATATATCTTAAACATCCTGAAAGTGATGGTACAACATACTGCCTTCTATTTACATTTTTTCCTAATCAGTGAAAACTTTTCTAATTAAGATCAAAGTTCATGAAGTCAAGCAACATTGAAAATTGAAAATTATAATTTTTTTACTCACTTGTAGAAAGTAAATGTGATATACTTTATATATGAAGAATGTTTAGGATCTTTAATAATGCATGAAGTTCTCTGCTTATCAATGTTGCCAATCAAAAATAAATGGCAGACATCATGTACAAACACAAGAATGGGAAGTTATACTCCATGTATGTATGACACGTCAGATTACATTCTACTGTCATGTATAACTAAAAAGAACAAAATAAAAAAAATAAGTGGCACACAGGAGGGGTAACAAGTTTATAAAGGGGAATTATTAAGACATGCTAGTATGTAGGAAGGGAGTGCTTCTTTGAATATATTTGCAGCAGGCAATGTGGCAATTCCTCTAATATTCCTTGGAATTTGACATAAATAAAAATGATCCTATTCTTGCCAGGCATTTATCAATTATTTTTTAAAATAATCAAATGTCTAATATTTTGGAATCTAGGCACAGTATGTATGTGGTCTTGTGTCATATTCTTGATAAAATATGTATTTTAAAATATAAATTGAAGCACATTCAGATTTAACTTCCTTCTCCTGAGAAGATTCTATTTCCTATCCTGTTTGGATTTTTCACTGTGGTACATTCAACTTTAGATGTGGCCTTTATATTTCATCCTAAGAAAATTCTGTCATTTTCCAACTTTGAAAGCCAAATTATCATTACATTTGTTACTTTACTTTTGGCAGCAAAACATCTTTTCAAAATTTCATTGCTATTATTTTGAATAAAATATTGCTATGTAGATTATCCCCAGTTAGGTCTAAATTTGGGAAATGAATGAAGGGGTGGCTTTTACATATAGGACATTTTATAAAGGTTTTTCCAACAAGTGTTTCATCTTATTTGCAAGATGAGTAAAAGTATGTGTACAGGCAACTTAAATTTTTCTTGGATTACCTTGTGATGCAGAACCTGAGGATGTACTAGGAGAATCACTCACCTTAGGTACTCAGGTTATAAGGCAGAAGCATGAGTATGTGTGTGCACATCCCCTTCCCCATGCAGGAGAATTTGCAAGTAAAGTCTTCAGCAACTTTCTACATTGGTTACCTAAGTAGTGGGGCTTGCAACTAAATTTTTCCTCTGGAGTGGGAATGAATGAGGATAGAGACAGGTAACTCTAAATTGCTGTTAGGATGAATGGTATGGTCCACTGTGAAGACCATTTGGGTAAACCTCCTTTCTTTTGCCACCATATATTCCCATATTCATCCTCAGAATTACTTTCATTTTCCACATTTCTTCTTTCCCCATTCCTCCACATGTTCCATTTAGCTCTCTTCTGCTTGTGCAGGCACTTCCATACGTTCAAAAACAGCAGGGGTGGCTTCTGCTGTCTTCTCTGATACCTGCACCCATTTATAATTCTTACATTAGTCAGACTTCAACTTCCAACCCAGAGCCTTTTTATTTGATCTGATTTGAGATGACACATCCTGGGAATTGAAAGCAAACACTGAGACTCTGAGCAATAATGGAAACAGTGTTATCATCCATGTAGCAATTTTAAATGTTTGTTGATTGACCCTGAGATAAAATAATCTTCCTTAAAAATAATAGTGTAGATTTAAGTCTTCAGTGCCCTTTTAACTTACATTAATATAATTTTATTCATTTTGTTATCATAAAGGGAAAATTATGGGAGTCACGGGAAGTAAATGTGGAGGAGGGGAGCAGTCTGATATCAAAATGGAAGGAAAATGATAGCCAAGTTAAGATTTAGCTGGAATGTAACATATCCACAGCTTTATCACTTTGGAGGCACATTTTGACATAATAACAAACTATTGAGACAGAACCACTTTTATCTAGGTCAGAATGACAGACTCTAAGTGTTAGAGAGCTTGAAGGAACTACAGTTTGTAGTTTGAAGCATCAGGAAGAAGACTGCAATCTGTACAAAGATTTTCATCAAGTCTCGACACTGCCTGATAGTTTTCATCCAATACATTGTAATTACTCCACTGGCTTATAATGGCATAGCATTTTGATTTCAGAACCCAGCAAAGGAAAATGAACCACATTTGATGTTGACTACATTTATAATAAGATGCAGATGGTAAAAGAAACAGATGCCTCTGACATCATCTCCCATTTGCCTTCAATTTTGCAGACACTGGCGGTCTGTAAACTCACTCAAAAGGAAGCAAGAAAAGTCAGGCAGTTTTCCAATTCTGTCTCCAGTCTAAGAAAACACTGGCAGCAGTGGCACGGCTTTCTTTGACTCATACAGTGGTAATTCCACAAAAAATAAATTTGATTCTGTGTCAGTCTTTAATGCAAAATTAATCATCAAAAAAAGGAAAACTCCACAAACACAGGGAGGTCAGCAATTAGTACCTACTGACTGTTTTGCTGGACAGTGACAAAAAGGACAGGGTGGGAATAGTGTAATGGCAAACAGCTGTAGCTTCAGGAAGTCAAAAAAGAGACTTTTAAACAGACAAGCATGTCTAAAAAACCAGCCCTCAGCACCCAGACTGTTCAGACTTATTTCTTGTTATTTGTAAGTAAAAAATTTTAAGGAAACTTTCCAGGTTACTATTTCTGACTTAAAAAAAAAAAAAAAAAATCTTTATTCTGTATTTCCATCTGCATTTCCAGAAGGAATCTTATAGTTCTGATAGGAACTTAACACCATTTCTCCAGTGATATCACTGAGTGTTATATAAAGTAAAAGGAATTCACTTTTTTTTTTCTTTTTCTTTGTGCAAGATAAGTGTGTTAAAAGACCTTTTCAAAAAGATAAGGAACTTTTGTAGTCCATCTTGAAAGGAAGAGATGCTTGGGTAAAGCAGCAACTGCAAGGCCTTTAGTAGTGTATGAGGTCCCCAGATAGATTAGCACAGTTACAGAAGAAGGCAAGTTAAACAAAATCCTTTAAAATCTTCCCATCTTCCCGGAAGCCCACGGTATAATTTCATCTAACTTCTGAAACAGAAATATTTTAGCAGAAAAAAATTTCAGAAACAAAAGCAAGGAAAGTGGTAACATAAAAATAAATCCTGCTAGGCCAAATATGGTGCCTATTTTTTAAATAATCTCTCTGTGCAAATAAAAGTACACACACACACACACACACACACACACACACAATACAAGAATAAACAAACTCTTCTAGTCCATATCCACAAAGCGGGTGGGGAAGCATTAGTGCAAATTTCTGCTGACCTGCAGCATTTAGTCCATAAACTTTGGATATCCTAGTCGGTCCATCAGTGTCCAGCAGATGTTTTCAATTAGTTTAATTTCATCTCTAGGCAAGTTTTGTTTCCAAACATTAGTATTAGTTGGTGATATTTCTCCTTCATATGGAAGGTAAAAAAGGTTTGTGGAAGTGGCAAACAATATTTGGTTTAAACTAGCAGGAGACAAAGGAATTCCAAGAAAAGCAAAAATCCTTTCAGTAGTTTTTTGAGGAAAATGAACAATATCTTCAAACTTGACCAGCTGGTAGCTGGTAGGCAGCAAATCTGTATTTATTCTCAAAGCTGCTGCTGTATTTGCTAGCCATAAATGAGACAATAAGGAGACAGCGTTTGATTCAGAATTTTCTAATTCTTTCTTCAATGGTTCATACTCAAATGCATAGCCTGAATTTAAGTTACATTTGCCTTTACCTCCCTCTATTTTAAACAATTTTGCTAAGTGCTCTGGTACATTCTTCAAAGTGTAAAGACTTGGCTTACTACTGTACAGCATTGAATAAATCCATGCCCGAGGGTCTCTTACAATATACAATGCCCTCATGGAAGCTCCTAATACTTCCTGAAAAAAATGAAGCTTCAATGTCCAGCTACCGCTACTTAAACTAAGCACAGGACGTGCACTTGGGTAATAGACCAGGTGTCTCCTTAAAGCCCTAATATATTCAGCATCTCTGTCAAAAGCGCCTTTCATTCTACTTCTTTGTTCTGGCAAAGACTCTCTCCTTTTCAATTTTCTTTTCTTGTCCTTATTTGTTGTAAAATATTGGGCCAGTTTACCCCTACTGGTCTCATGCAGATGGATGTTTTGTAAATGTAGTTTTGTGTCCTGGACTAAAGACTGCAACCAGCCTCGAAGTAATCGGAAATGCCCACTGTGGATATCTGATACCTTCCATTCACAAGCATCTACAAATGAATCAATTTCAAATTCCGTTTCAGGGATATCAATGTAGGCTGTAGGAACTCTGATGTAGAGAAAGTCACTACTGTTGAAAAAAAGTTGTTTAAGTATTTCGGCTCCGGAACCAGGAAGTGAGGTAATGACAACATCAGGAAGATCCACATAGTGCCCCTTGGAAGACACAGACTTCTTGCTTGTCTCAGTTCCTGTTCTTGTCCATTTTGCACAGATGGGCTGAGTGCAAGTGCTCCACACATCTAGAAGCTCAATAACCCACAAGGCAATAACAAGTATTAGTATCCAACGCATTAGTTTTCTAAAAGAAAGGTAAAACCGCCATTGAAATGTTAAAATCACCAAACTAATGCACAAAATTAATCCAATTGCTATGTTAAACTTAAATCCAAAGGGGAAAATAGCTCTATCTTGTCGTATAGGCAGTACTATTGCTTGAGTACCCAAACCAAATCGGGTTATTTGGCCTTGGTCAGCCACATTGGCAAAGCCACCAAATCCCAGGTAATTGAATCTTGTTTTCAGGTTGTGGTAGTCAGTTACAATGGAAACAACGTGTTCAGTGTTATTGACATTGAGAGAAATCTGAAGTCCAGAATTGGAATTATCAATGAATCTGCAGCTGGAAACATTGACATATGGCCCATAAAAGACATATGCAATTCTTGTGATTGTGGATTCCATCTGAAAGGTCACATTAACAAACTGAGTCCACCGTTTCTTAAATTCAGCTGCTTGTTCTGCTTCCTGTATACTAGCCATGGGGCTATTGCCACGGTGATCAAACCAGAACATTTTGTAGTGTGCATCCCATACATCCATCATGGCACCATTATACCTATTCATAAACCTATATGGGATGTATTTAAAATCAATATCCAGGTTATGAAAGAAGGCACTGACAGAATTTATCGGGGAAGCTTCTTGCCTCTCAATGTGGTCAACGACTAGCAGAGTTTGAGAATTTAAGAGGAGTAAAGCACGATACACACTTTTCAGTCTCATTGCTGAAGAATAAGCAGATACTGCTTCCCCACTCACAAATATCATTTCCCCATGTTGAGAGGCAGTGATGATTTCCCCTGCTGAGTCACCAACTTCCTCACCAGTCCACTTGAGCCACTGTGCACATTCTCCCAGTTGGCCTTCCCAGGGCTTATTACATTGGCTTGAGGGTGACGGAGCAAACACCAATACATTGTTAAGGTGGCTCAACTTTGGTCCATAGAGAGCTTCAGAAACAAAAACTTGCCCATTGGGGGCAAATGTAAATGAGTTCTGATCTGGATGTTCATGTCCAGGGTTAAAGCTTCTCCACCCATCAATCCAGGAGTATGGCTGAAAGTGAACTATGTCATACACAGCTCTTCCCCCCAGCTTCCCAGATTTGAAGGACACAAAGGTATTGGTTTGTGTGTTTGGCAGCCCAGCCCCATAAGTGACAACTCCCCAGTTAGGAAATGTGTGCATCTTTGCAGTACCATAGTCAGCAGGGGGCTGTGGGGTTAGTTGTGGATCATACCAGATGTATTCTGTGTGGAGAGTACTCCACCTCTGGGCAGTGGATGGAACCATGGGTCCATCTTTAGGTCGATGCTTTCTAATTTGCTGAGCTAACCAATTTCCTGCTCCATTCTTTAAGATAAACTTATCCAAGAAAACTAGCTGACTCTCTGGACCATAAAACCAATTATAATTAGAATCTGCTATACCCACAGTTCTTTGGAAGCCTGGCAAAAGGGTGGCATAGTAGAACCAAAAGTGCATTTTTAACCAGTTATTATCCAAGTTGTTGATATTAAAATGGCGCTGTGCCAAAAAAACATACTGCATGACTGATTTAGCTGTGTAGCTTCCATAGGCCACACCTTCATCCAAGGAGCCATCAACAATGTGATTCAATAGAAACATTGTCTTTTCCATGACATCTACTACAACCTGTTTCCATATATTTGCTTTAGATCCTTTATCTACCCCAGTAACCAAGGCCCCTGTGAGTACTGCTATCATATTGGTAGCCTGATGGTTATGGAGAAGTTGTTTGCCCCATGAGCGGACCTTGGAGTATTCATACATTTCCTCAGTAATAACCCATATTTTTTCCAGATATCTTTGTCTTCGATGATTATCTAATAAGTTATATAAAAAGTCAAAGGCAGTGGCAAAACCTGTTAACGAATGGCCAACCGGAACCTCATCTCCTGGTGCATTCTCCACCAGCCAATCTTTGTAGCTTACCATCCGGTCCATATATTCCAAGACAAATTCAAAGGCAACTTTGTCTTCTGGACATAACAAACAGTACAATGCTAAAGGAGGCAGATTGTTACCATAAATTTCATTCCACTTGGCAGCAAAATCGGCATGCTTGGGTGGAGGTAGGTAGTATGTTGGGTTGGACAGCATAACTGTCACTGCACTTCTGATAGCTCTAAAAAGATGCAAATGGCTTGTGCGAGACTTTTGTCTCATTGCTTGGATTTCTCCAGCATCAAAATATAAACTTGGATGAAGCATACTTCTCCTCAGCTTTTGGTTGGGTCTGAAATCTTGCACTTTCTGTGTCTTAAACTGATCTATATCATCTGTGAAAACTGCCCATTCAGAGTAATTACTCACAGACTCTTCAAGAGTAGAGAAACCAAACATCACTAATGTTAAAATTAGGAAATGTCCTGTAAACATTAACGCCATGATCCATGGGGAAGATACTTTCCTTAGGCATACATAACAAATAGGGTGTTTAATGTGTTTTCCATCTGGCTAATATAAAGCATATATTAAAGATCTTGATTAAACTGAATTTAAAATCTTCTATGCTGACATTCAGCTCATTCAAAGCAAGTACATTTGCCAAAAAGAGAAAATTTTACATAGCGCATCTGTATCCCTGGCACAGTTCTGTTCCAGTAAATTTCAAGGAATATTAATACCTCTAATTTTTCTGTAACAGAGGAACAGTGGTAATAGTCAAAATTACTATAAATGCAGCGTTTACTTCCTTTACATTAGTCTATTTGAACAGAAGAGTCAAATCATACATGGTACAAGAAAGAAAAAGCACTCCAAAATTAAAATTAAGAGTCATTTGTAGCACAGCAAGCCATCACTGGTGATACACTCACCACAAGTGTATGACTTGTTTCTGTGTGTTTGACTGAAGACCATGGCAAAGTACTAACATTCTTGGAATGAGTGGAATCACTGATTATTCCTTTCAATATTTTATGCTTCTTGGTTTGTGAACTATTTCTTCTTCCATTTTGGGTATAAAAACATCTTCAAAAAGTGTCCAAAGTCCCATGTGATTTAAAAATATTCAAACTCCTGCCTTCATTTCAAATGTCTTTTCCAGGCTTACTGACTCATCAGTCTATATGACACAGGAAAGCATTTTGATGTCTTCTTCTATCAGCTTCATCAATACAACTATAAAAATCTAATCTCTTCAGCCACCTAGGCACATCTTTTCCAATCATGGAGTAACCATCAACGGGAAAAGAAAACTCCCCTTTCATCAACAGTGACCATGCCGTCTCTTTTCTCTTCCTTTTTCATGACTCTCCTTTCTGGGGGGAAAACAAAACAAAGCAATTGTCTGAGGCTACAGGTAGCTGAAAGTGAAGGCAAACTAATGATTTAAATACTCTACAGTCACTTGATAGAAATTTGAGAATCATAATAAAATCTGATATTATATACAATCTAAGTGATTGATAGATACAATCAAGCGATTTATGCACGTACAAGGATTCCGAAGAATGTGAGTAGATGACAAGCAGCTGTGATATATACATTGCATTAGTCCTTTTTTTAATGCTTTCATTAAAATGCAGTTAAAGAGGAATCCTGCTATCATTCTTATTATTTTGGTTACAAATGACCCAGAGACATAAAAGTAAACCTTGAAAGAGCTTTTTTTTGTTGCTATTCTGGCTGAAGGTCTGGCCTTCGCCACATCAGGAGTCTTCCCAGGGGGGAGCAGGAGGAAGAGGACAAGTAAGAGGGTCACTCCTCCAGGGGGAAGGCCATCCAGGGCAGCACGGCGGCCTCACCTGTGGCCTGCGCCAGCGTCCCCGCACGGGCCAGCAGAGGGCGCGCGGAGCCAGCGCTGCCCGCCGCCCGCCTTCGCCGTCCCCGGTCGGCAAGAGCTAACCAAGTTTCAGTCTCGGGCAAGTCTGCTCTCCGCAGGAGATGCTGTCGCTAGGAGTTTCCCGACCCGCCCCGCCTGTTGCATTTTCTAATTCGCGTCCCACCAACCTGTCACCCCTGCCCGCGCTCGCGGCTCGCCGACCGGGACCGGCGGTCCGGGGCGGGCGACCCCCAGATGGCCCAGTGCCACTGCTTACCTCCGGCGGCTGCGACGGGTCTGGGGCGGCGCTGGGCCCCAACAGCCGCGGTGGCGGGGAGTTGGGGACTTCGCGGCGCCGGAAGCCGGCCGGCGGCCCCGCAGGGACCCCGCGCTCCCACGGGCTGAGCCGGCGCCAGGGGTCCTCCGCGGCGCTCGGGCACGCCCGCCCTCGGGGAACGCCGGGCGCTCCGGGGCTGACCCGGACCGCCGCAGGCAACCGTGGGCGGCTTGCGCACTCGGGGCAGCGTGTCCAGCGGGAGCCGCGTCGCCAGGCCGCGACGACACTGCGACCGCCGCTCCTCCGCGCCAGCTCCGGCCGCGCGGCCCAGGGAGGGCGAGAGACGGCGAAGGGGGCCGGCGGCCGGGGGCGGGGCGGGGCGGGCGGAGGCGGGGCCTGGGGCGGGGAGCGGCGGCGACGCGGGACGGAGGGGCGTGGTCGGGAGCGGGGGCGGGGCCAAGCGCGGCGGGGAAGCGGCGCGGAGGTTCTGGGCTGCGGCGGCCGCGGTGCGCTCAGAGGGGCCGGGCGGGAGGAGGGGCAGTGAGGGAGCGCGAGTGCCACGATCCCGCGGGCTGGCGTTGAGATCATTTGCTTAAGCGAAGAGGACAAGTGTAACAGAGCCACGGGTGGATGGGGTTGATGATAAATGATGGGAGATGAGGTGATGATCCCGGTGACGTTTGTGATAACAAGATTCACCCTCAGGAAAGAGCCAGCGCTGGAGAGGGAAGGACCACTGTCTTGGAACCCGGAGGCAACCTGGCTGAGGTTGCAGTCATTGCAAAGCAAAACCAAAATACGTATATTAGTGTATGAAAACAACTTCAGTAGCACAGATGCAACCGACCAGGGCAAAATAATAATAACCACGAGTCAGCTTTACCAATTGAAAATAATTTTAACGGCAGTATAAATAGGAGCAGTATGGGATAAACAAGTAGAAGGAGACTCATAAAATGAAGAGAAATATCCTTCATTAGAAATCTACAAACTGGTGGAGGCAGCCCGTCTTGGTTACTCTCACATGCTTGTGCAACTCCAGAGCTTGGGATTTCCTCTTATACTGGACATTGGGAACTTCTCACAGATACCAGATTACAGTATGACAAGACTCAAACCAAGTCTCACCACACTGTCACAATTAACAGCTCAGTCGTAATAAGAATACATTTCTGTCGTAATGGGACACCTACCCTGGTCCAAATGGCCAGTGCTTTTGCTTCAGCCCTTCAGGAACTGTATTTATTGTATTTCTTGTTTTTCAATACCCAGTACTTAAAATCAGCCCCACTTACCAGTTGCAATTTTTCTGAATATCAGATTTCTTTTATTATCCTGATCTCAACTCAGATGCTTAATTTCCTGTATACATAACTCCTGAATTTCTGAAGCCAATTTGTATGACTAGCACTATATTGTTTCTACTTATATTCATCCCTTAAACTTTTTTTTTTAATGCTTACTATTTTACCTGGCTCACTCCTGTACTCTTATGTGAAGATCCTTTAAGTCATGATTAGAATGCCATCCTCATTGTAGGTGCTATACTTTTGTTTAAAATGAGTTGAACTTTTAACAAGTGGGCTCACATAAAGCTTTTTCTCCTATTGAGATTTATTACTAAACAAAGGTCTTTGACAATCAGAGACAGAACCTCCTGTGAATATCTGCATACTCGCTCCATGTGACCTCTGATGGAGGAAACCCCTGGGCTCCATCCTCCTTATGGAAGAATACAATTAGGGCAAAGAAGAGCCTGTCTGCAGAAATGCCTACATTTTCTGCAGAGTTGAGCCTAGGAATTAGTTTTAGTAAACACACTTAGTAAATAAGCGGACTTGAGAACAAAATGTACAGATAGGGCTATTTTATTTTGTGGATCCAAAGTGCCCCACGATGCAAGGAATAAATGACTCAGGCAGAATTGGTGCACAAACATCTGCCAGACAGATATTTCAAGCTTCATCCAATCATTATATCTTCAGATTTATTAACATCAACATGATCATTCTGAATTTATAGATGAATGAAACCAGGTACAGACATTGTGGACTTTCAATTCTGCCCCATGTATCTGGGCTGAAGCTCTGGGGATGTGCTAACCCTCAGCATTCTCAGATGAGCTTTCAGGTTATTCATCTTGAACAGGCATCTTCTCACACTTGTGAAATGTGAGTGCCTTGAAATAAAAAGAAGCCATGGATGAACAATCCAAATCATTGGCAGAAAGGTTGTTAGGTAAATGGCACTATTAAAAATGAAGAGAGCCTTGTTTCCTGTGAACTAAAAATGGATAGCTCCAATTATTGTTCCTTCTACACATGAAGATGGTACAAAGTTAGTTAATTATAAATAATGTATCCAGCCATAGAAGGGATGAGCTATATGCTATGTTATTGTACATTAAAAACCTTTATGAGTGTGGCAAGAGACGCATATACCAACAGCTGCTAAATTCAGAATCCTGAAGCAGTATCTTATTTTAATGGAAGTGAAGAACAGTACAGTCTGTTGCTCTGGGGATTTCTCTCTACATAAAATGATCTTAAATCTACATGAGATTTTTCACAGTGATTTCAAAGCACTTATAAAAATCAGTTTTATTTATTTGCACATCTTTCAATCTATCCTCAACCACTCGACTTGCAACAGTGCTTTTCAGAATAAAATAAATTTTAGAATCAATCTCCCAGTGCAGAAGTCTTATTTTTTTTCCTTCTTTCCCTCTCTCCTTTATTCCCTTCCTTGTTCTTTCCTTCCTTTAGTTCCCTCCTCTCTCCCTCCCTCCCTCCCTCCCCTTCTTCCTTCCTCTCTCCCTCCCTCCCTCCCTCCCCTTCTTCCTTCCTCTCTCCCACCCTCAGTCCCTCCTTAGTTTCTTCATTTGTTTGTTGGTTCTTTCTCTTTACTTTTTTTTATTTCTTTATTTCTTTCCTATTCTCAACGACTGTTCCAGAGCTTGGCACTTTGTGTTGGATGTGTCTTGAAAGTTGAACATGAATTATCACCCCCTTTTCATGGCAGAAGAGAAAACGTAAGCAGGTCTAAAGTGGGTTGCAAATCTGAGCAGAAGCAATGCCCCTTTTTCTTCTAACTGCTGAGAAGCTTGCTTCACACAACCCATAGTTGGAGCTATGTCTCGGGGTGACTTAATTCAAGTGACACCTAAGTCTGGGAAGCCAGCCAACATTTTAAAGAGAATTTCTGCAAGAATTTTATGTCTTGAGATAGGTAAATTCAAGTTCTAAACCTTAGAACATAAGTTAAACACTACATAGTCTTTCAGAACAATAAAATGCAAGCAATAAAACAAACTTGACACTATATAAAGTCCTCGGGCTGAAGTCTTATTTGTCTGTGATCTATATCTCTTGTGGACTCTTGATAATCGGATATCCCAGAACTAATTGCTGTGCGTTTAGCAACTGATCATGCTCAGATCTCTAATTTATCAGCTTACCCAACATACACTCATCTGAATCTGGGAATGATTTTGCTATTCTTTAGGATAGGCCTTCTTGCTAAGGCTTTGTCTGTGAGACCTCAAATGCAGATTTTCTGAACCACTTACCAGGACCAGATGTATGCTAGGTTGATCCACTAACAATACTACAACTAGTATTTGCCCCAAGTTTGGGGATATAGTCAGTGACACCATTTAGAAACAGACATCAAATGCAAGTTGCAAATTTTATTGCAAAATTGGCTAGCAGTAATATGCCACACCAACAATAAAGACACAACACAGATTTGAGGAAGGCCGTAGAATCTGGAAATACTCTTTAGCAATTG